AGAAGCCCGATATTTTCCTACATCTATTACTAAATGTAGCTCTGGATAGAAGCCCGGTCTGACTCAGAGTTCTTCTCGCTTAATTTCTTAAACTCCCCATACATACTGACTAACCACATACTAGTCAGAAGGACTATTTAGTGTATGTCAACTACGTAATCAATTTGTTATCAGATGGGTGGTCCGAGACGAAACCGCCGTTAGTGACTTGTCCAAGGTCATTCTATGAATGATGGAGCCGAGATTCGAACACAGTATCTTGTGGATATGTGTCAAACATCTTAACCATTCAGCCACAGCGGCTATGTTCCTACTGAAACCAAACAAAGGTTTTGATGGGCTACATAACCGTAGGGAATATCAATTTAGACATTTCAAACTAATATGGATAGATTTAATTTTACGTGTGGGTCTTCTTTTTGACTTTAGAAAAAAAGAACTAAATACACGATGACTGTGAGCACTTAATATTGACATGCTTGATTTATTTCTTAAGAAAAAACTTGAAGCTCTCCTTTATCATTAGAAATAAAATTAGCTTATTTGGATCAACTGTGATGGTGACATAGAAATTTCTTTTCTTCCATGTTTTCACAACAAACCGTATACGAAAAATGCTTATTGAAATATTTCATTTACTTTTGAATTGCTAATAAAGGCTGAGCGAAAAAGCACGAAAAGAAAAAGTAAGAAGGAAGACATTAAAATGAGAAAGTAGTGAGAGAATTACGTCGAATCGAATTATATCTCGAAATAAATTAGATATTTACAGTATACTTATTTAAATTTGTCCATAATCCAATTTCAATAAATTTTTACTAATCTTTTCCTATTTTTCTTTTGACACTTTTCTTCTCAAACTATTTTTTATCGAACTTTTACTTTTCGAAAATGCCCAGGTGAATGATGCTCGACCGTAAATGGTAGTACACAGTCAAATACGGTGGAAAACAGTAGCCGTGTAAGATGACTTTTTACTGTCATCGTAAACGACTAACGTAAACTCACATCGTTTACGACTCCCGTGAAAATACGACGGTTGTAAAGAACTGTCGGCCAAAGTCGGAAGTCGCCATATACGTCAGCTGTAAAGGGTTCAATGAACGTTCATCGTTTTTTGACGTATTTTGTCGTAAATGGCCGTTGCCGTCGACGACTTTCTCTTTTTAAATGTAGCAATGGTTTCATTATTTCGACTCTAACAGACCTCAGTTTTCAATTAATGTTTTTCTAATCTATCGAAATTAGAAGGATGGTATGGGTGTGGGTATAGTTGTCAGCGAAAAGAATATCCACACCAACATCCACACTCCATCCACACTCATGGATTTATATTGGAAAGAAACTCAAAGGCTTTATTCTAGTTTAGTCCCTTCTTTCAGGTGATTTATACAGAGAACTCACACGATTCTTTCAGTAGGTCAATGAGTTGATTTTGTCGACCAGTCGTCTGAACTAAGATAGAAAAAACCGAATCACAGGCATTTTTTACCTGACCGCCTTGGTTAACCATATTTTCACGCGAAAATCAGAGTTTTTATGAAAAAAGGTTTTTAAAGGTGTTCCATGGCCTTATTTGAAATTTCGCGAATGAGTTCTTTTTTTCATCCAAAAGCATGAATTTATATTGGAGAAGGACTATAAAGGCGTTTTTCTAGCTTAATATTTTCTTTCAGATGATTTTCTTAGAGAAGTAAGACAATCTCTGGAGAATGTCAATGAGCTGATTGTCCCGACGAATGCCATGAGAGTACATGACAAAAAGCAAATAAAGGCCTGTTTTAGGGAATGTTATTGCGGAAATGCGTTTTTTCCTGCACAGAGACTCTTTTAGTATTGCAATACTTTCTTGAAATTTTGGGAATGTTTTCAGTCTGTCATGAGAACGCACGGGTTTATTTTGTAGAAGGAATTCAAACACGGTATCCTAACTTCGTGTTTTCTTTCTGATCGCTTCTACAGAGAGGTGTCAAGATTTCTGAGAAGTGACAATGAGTTGTTTCTCGCAATGAATTGCATGGACTCAAGTAGAAAAAATCAACTAAACACAATGTTTAGGTGACCATCTCGTTTAACCAGACTTTAACGCGGAAATTAGAGATTTCACAAAAAAGTCTTTAAATTGCGTTTTCACACATGTTTTTGAACTTTCGTGAAAAAGTGCATTTCTTCATTGAAAAGCATTCATTCATGTAGGAAAAGGAGTTCAAAGCTCTTAATCCAGCTAAGCATTTTATTTCGCATGATTTTGATTTCCACAGAGAAATCAGAGGTTTTCTTAACTTGTGTCAATCTGTTAATTTCTACATCGGACAGCATGGACTTGCATAGATATAACGATTGAAGTTCTTTTTCACCTGATCAGCTTCTTGCACACGTTTTTTACGAAAAAATCACAGTTTCTGTGCAGAAAAGTCTTGAAAGGCGTTTAAAAACGTTTTTTGGCTTCGTGAATAAGTTGATTTTTACATGTAAATACATCTACTCAAACAGCACAAGGGATTCAGAGACGTCATTGGAAGTGAACACTTACTATCAGATGATTTAGACCGAGAAATGAGAGGCTTTCTCAAATGTGTCAACGAGTTGATTTCTCCGACCAACTGCATGAAGTCGTATAGAGAACTCAACTGAATTTTTTTTAACGTGGGCAGCTTGTTTCAGATGATTTCGACACAGAATTTAGAGTTCGTTTGGACATTTTCTTTCAAGGGGCTTTAAAGGTGTTTAAAGAAGTTTAACCCGAAATTTTGTAAGTAACTTGAATTAGGCATCCAGCTGCTTGGAGTCACATAAAAATGGGCATTTGAAGGCCTTTTTGTAAGTAAGTGCAATGTTCTAGATGATTTCAATGAGGAAACTAGAGTTTTCGTGAAAAACGCCTTTAAATGCGTTTCAAGGGTTTTAATCGTAAACTCCGTAAGTAAGTTGAATTGCGCATCCAGATGCTTGGAATCATGTAGTAAAAGGCATTGAAAGACCTTTTTACAAGAAACTGCAGTGCTCCAAATGATTTCACCGTTGAAATCAGTGGTTTTGTGAAAAACGCCATTAAAGGCGTTTAAAGGTGTTTAACTGAAAACTGTGTAGATACGTTGAATGGTGCATTCGGCTGCTTCGAGTTACGTAGTAAAAGGCATTTAAAGGCCTTTTTATAAGAAACTGCAGTGTTCTAGGTGCTTTCAATGAGGAAATCAGGTGATCTGCGAAAACTTCTTTAGCGATGTGTGTTTTTTGAAAACCTCGTTGAAAGGGGTTGTTTCGGAAAGTGACCTTTAAAGGCGTTTATTTAAAAATGTCTTCTAAAGGTGTTTTCTTGGAAAACACCTTTTAAAGGAGTTTATGGTTGAAAAGAAGTTTGAAACTGTTTGATTTTGAAGGGCCTTTAAAGGCGTGTTTTTGGTGTGTTTCATCGCTTTTCATTGCGGCTTAGATGCAGTGACGAAACAGAGTAAGTTGGCAATAAAATTGTGACTGCGGATTGGATTAATGGGGTTTCATTTATTTGATGCTAATGACGGTAGTTCACGATGAAATACGGTCGCTGCCAAACAGATGAAACACGGTCCGTTTACGGTAATGTAACCGGTCGTGTACGATCGTCATAATCATCGACTTGGGGACAGGTCAGAATAATGGAGCTATCCTGCAAATTGAATATCTCAAGAAGGAAAGATCTGTTTTGGTTGAAAATTTTGATGCATCCTAAGAATCATTAGACTTGTTTGTGGACAGAATATCAGATTGAAATACCTTCATTTGACTTTGCTGTGAGTACCGTACTGTAGGCCAAAAATTCAGTAAAACGGTTATAACTTTGGGCCAGCAGCCCATGGGCACGAACGCTTCTAGCGTTTTCTTAGTCTCACTGAAGTCTACCTATAGCTAATATATGAAGCCGAGAGCTCAAAATAAATTGGGGTAGTTCTCTCGTAAGTAGTAATGATAGCAAACAAAATAAATAGGAAACCTTGTCAAAAATTTGCTTATTTTGCAACTGTCGTTGGGATTCTATGGTTTAGTAACTTTGATTTGCTGATGCAAAACATATTTATGAATTTTATCTACGACTCACCATTGTTACTGCAGAAGAATTTTGTGAATGAGTCATTTGTCATACAAAGATAACATTCATTTCTGCATTGATATTGCTAAGGTGCGAAGATCTTCTTTTTTGTTTTTTTTTCTGAGACTTTCATTGTTACGAAAATATGTTTCTAGAAATGATCGTATTAAAATTCTTTCTCTGTATTATTCCACTACTGTCAATTATCAATTTGGCTCAATCACAAAATGTTTGCCTGGATAATCCTGTTTTGATTTGTTATTGTCAAGATGTTATGGAATCTGTTTCTTGCATTGGCAAAAATGAAACAAATAACACTTTTGTCGACTGGTCAGCATTCACTTCCGTCGATCATCGTCGATATTCATTCACATTTTTAAATTTGACACGTCTAACATATTTAACATTCACTAATTTTTCATCGACATTCCCTCGAAATGACTTAACGCTTTCGTTCACATTCATCAATGGTTTGGATGAAATAGGAGAAAATACATTTCAAGAGCTTAATTACTATTCCGATGAACCGGTCGACATGACATTTACTTCACCACGAAATTTCAAACTTGTCGATTATGCATTTGGTCGAGCAGAATATTTCGAAATCGTTATCGATAGTATACAATATAGTCATATCAATAATCTTCCATATAAATTTAATTTAAAATCAATGGATGGTATCAAATTCTATCAGATGAGTATTATAAATTCTGGTCAAGTATATTTCGTTTCTAATGGCTCGTCTGCTATCGAACTTACCGAAATAACAGTGGTTAACTGTTCGTTGACAAATGCAAGCCTACTTATCGAATCTTTTTCTACATCAATCGTTGATTTAGATCTCTCATCGAATCAATTAATTGAAATTCCTTCGATGATGAAGTTTCAGGAGATGAGAGAAATTGATTTGAAGAATAATTTGATTGAAGAAATTACATCAAATATATTCAATAATATGATTAATTTAAATCACTTAGATTTGTCGAATAATCGAATCAGGACAATAGCAGCCGACTCATTTATTGGTATAGGTTTTTTGATTACTTTAGCAATAGATAACAATTTTCTGACATCACTTGAAACAATAACAATTGATAATCGAACAACATCGTTTTTACATCCATTAAATAAATCACTGGCTTTTTTCTCAGCATCAAACAATTTCATACGGGATCTGTATCCATTGAAACATATGATTAATTTAGATAATGTAACATTATGTTGTAATCAAATAAGAACAATAGAAGCGAATACATTTGGTGAAGCAAGTCAGCTTCGGACGGTTGATTTAAGTTATAATAAAATCGAAAGCATTGATTCGATGGCTTTTAATGGAACTGTTATTAACAATTTAAATTTGGCTGGAAATCCAATTTTATCTCTTGAAACGAACTTTCAAGAAGTCCAAAATCAAACAACATCGTTTCTGTATACAGTATCAGCGACACTTTTCAGTCTATCAATTTCAAATTGTACCAATTTCATTGAACTGAATTGGTTTGTTATATCAAAACTTGAAATTTTATCGAATTTAGAACTTTCTCAACTCAATAAGACCCACAAGTTTTGGCTTTATCGAAAGACGGATACGAATAATGAAGATTCACCTATAAATTGGAACTTTCCACCTCATGTAATTCTCAATGGCATCCGATTCACTGACAATGATTATTGTTTAACCAAATCAATTGCTCATCTATTGAATCGGTCAACTTTAATTGTTGATATAGATCATCCATGTAATTGCTTCATATTCAAATTCAGCGATTCGTTTGATAAAGACCAGCGTCCGGTTTGTATGTCGAATGAGTCAATCGTGGATTCGTTAAGTAAGCGATGCGCAGATATGGATTTATATTGTGAATTATTTTCAAACGGTACTACTTCGTCATTCATCGAATGGACATCATCATCCCCGATGAATTCGAGCACAACAATCCAATTCACTTCAACTCGAATAGTCACCACGAACGTCGAAACAACAGTTAAAGCCTCGTCGACTACTGTTCCATCGAGTACATCGACAACAAAACTGCCATCGGTATCACGTACTGACATGACTGGCACACAATTTTCATCGGAAGGATCGAATATAAATCAACAAAGGAAAATAATTTTTGCTACTACAATACCCATTGTAGTCATTATTACTTTATGTTTCATCATCCTGTATATTATAAAAAGAAAACAAGTGAATAGTTTGGATGAAAATTTTGAAATGAGAGAAAAAATCTTACATACGATTGATGAAGAATGATTGATCTGTTCAATTTATTTACTTTGCATTATTTCAGTATAAGAACATATTTATCAATTAGCAAACATCTATGTTTGAAATAGCATCAAAAATATAACTAAGTTCAGTACTTTTCACAGAATTATTTACATAGTTTGGATCATTTCGAATTATGTCAACAATTGCTCAAGCTACGAAATAAACTGTTGTTCGAGGTTTAGGTGAGTAGATGCGATTATGTTAATAATACTTACTCTTTTAGTAAAGCAAATTTTCTAAAAGAATTCAGTTATATTTCAATAATACATGGATGAATTGCAAGCCCATTGTACCGTTTGGGAAAAGAGAAAGTGAAAAATGAAAGTGTTAAGATTAAAAATCTAAATGCACCACAAGAAAGAGCATCCTCGACTACCTACAAGCGTTTTGATAGCTTATCAATAGCAAAAAACATAGCGAAAACTGACGGATATTAATGAAACAGAAAGAGATCTGTGCCAGAATCATATTGTCGAACGATATAGATGGGAGTGTGGGAGTGGATGGTGCGGGTGTGGATGTAAGTGTCGGTCTTCTTTCTATCCAACGCACACCCACCCTCCAGATTCACCCCCACCCCCCACACTCGTATCTACACCTCAATATGACCATTGATATATTAATATGTTTTTATATAGATTTCAGAATCATGAGTATGCTAATGGAGTCAAACTATTCTTCAAGATGTCTGAAGAAGCACAGAATTTATTGGCTTAAATTAAATCGTATGCATTTTTATAAACTCTTCTAGAAATAAAAAACATTTTCTAAATGAAAATATTGATAAAAGAAATGGATCAAGACAAGAAGTACACAAAAAAATGGAATATAAATACACTCTTTACACTTTTTTTTTGTTTGTTTCTATTTGTTACATGCAATAATAGAACAAACGAGGAATGTATAAAATTGTTCGATTAATACAAAAAGAATATTGAATATTATGAGAATGATGAAATCCTAAAAAATATCTATTATTGGTTGATATATATGATTTGACGTATGTGTTCTATACATGGATTTCTGTCTGATTCTTATTTACTTCAATGGCTTTATGTTTGCTAATAATAAAAGTAAATTACTATTTGTATATATAGATATATAGATAATTGGCAATACATTGACACCATGTGCGAAAAATTTTTCAAATTAAAATGTTTTGACCCACTGATTTTGTTACTATACTATAACGACGTTGTTGATATGATTTCCTTAAAGAATAATTAAATTAATTAAAAAAAAAAGAAGTTTTTTTCTTTCTATTTTATTTACAAATCATCATCATCATCTAGATCAATATTTCCTGTAGCATTTGTTTTTTTAAAATTATACATAAATGCCTCAGTCATTGAATTTAAATGTTGTGATTCTCTACAAACTAATTGATCATCATTCTAATCATGAATAAGTTCATCATCATTAGAATCTTCAATTTCTTCATTGTCATCAGGTGATAAATAAACTGAATTTCTATAATTAACACTTAATTGTACTTTCTATTTACCTAACTGTAAATGATATTTTACTAAGAGATGTTCGACCATGATAAATAACTAGATAACCATCATCATCCCAACAATCAAGTTCAACACAACGACAATCTGATAAAAGAACCTTATAAAATTAATAATTAAATTCATTTAAAAAAAAGAAATGAATTTTATTTAAAAAAAATATTTATTTCACGAGATATCTCAATTGATGATTCACTACGTAATTGATGTTCAGTTAAATAAGTATTATGTGATGTTGCAACAAAATAATATGACAATGGACTATTCATTTCCCACAAAAAAAGAATTTATACGTAAATGATAAAATGATATTTGAGATTTTGTTTCTTACTTGTTCGTTAATTTTTGTATGTTCACTAATCAAAACATAATTTTCTTTATCTAATAAATAACGTGAAAAAATTTCTCATGAAAGACCTTTGTTTAAATGATTTTGTCAATTAGATTCATGACGCTAAAAACAAATAAAGAAAAAAAATTAATTATAAAGATAATTCTAATTTTTTTGGAATGAATTAAAATTATCTTCGGAAAAAAATCGTTTCTATTGTTGAATTATATTCATTTGGGATTCATCCGAATCTTAGTCAAATTAAGATAATGCAGAAAACACATTCTAAAAAACTCTATGATATGAAACATAAAGCGGATTTCGAAAATTGAAACGCCATTGAAACCTTTTTTTTTTTGAGTATCCTATGGACCTACAATTGAAGTCTTATCTTTCCTTGTTAATTCACTTCCTCGAACTTTCTTCCTAGATGTGATCATGTCTAGAATTAACTTTTCAATAATGTAGACTTACATAAATAATTTGTTCAATTTCATAAAAAAAATTTTTCTTCGTTTCGATGTTTAAATTAAAAAAATCTTTAAATTATTCTTTTGTGGTAAGATAATAAATTCTACATATATTTGTTTCAGTTATATCATCATCAACTATATTTCCTGTTATTAAACTAATGAAATGTCTTGATATATTTAAATTGTTCTTTTATTGTATAATCGTGTTCAAGAATTATCTCTCAAGCAATTCTATCAAATAAGTCTTTTAAATTACGTCGATACAATAAATAAAATGATCTAAATAATTGAACAAATTCAGGAAAATCCATATATGTTTCACTTATAATCCATGATGATGATGGTGAATCTTGAACTTGATTATTTGAATTTCTTGATACTAAATAAAATTACCTAGAGGTTTTGTATTAATTAAATTATTTAATGCATATGTTCTTTTTATACGATGTGCTGATGAAACATTCGTTATATGAGAAAATTCTTTGGCATTTGTTTTATAATCAAGTGTTTTAGATTTATTATCTTTAACTAATGTTAAATAATGTGGGTATGCCTGTGGGTGTTTTTCTCTTCTTCAACAACACATTCACATCCACACCCACACACCCATCAGTCAGAAACGAAGTTTTCTACTTTTCGACTTTAGGGTTTTTCAATATTACGTTTCGTTGGTTTGTACGTGTGAAGTGCTTCAATCTAAAGGTGGATTGACTTAAATGTTTTTGTGTCTAAAGTTTCTTTTAGAATGCGACTAAAGGCACCATAGTTTTTCGTATTGAAATGTGTGATGCATTTAAAGAAACGACGAATCGAAAAGGGGCACCGACGACCGACGAGGAGCTGCTTGATTTAATCGAGATGGGAGACGTTTTTTCAGAAAGATCTGCTCAGTAATTTGATTCTTAATTTGAGAGTATTTAAACGAAAGTATACATAATTTTTACCATCCATGTGTTTGTTAAGTCAACCAGCGCCTGGTAAATATTTTCAGTGGAAGAAAGAAGTTGAAAACATTTTGAGAGTTGAAAGTGTTATCAAAGCTTCTGATGCGAGTGAAGCTGTAAAAAGTCAAACGGAGATGAGAACTTTTACTTAAACAGTCTCCGATCTTCAAAGATAGGGTGTTACATGAGACAATATGTGAATGCTTGTCAGTTTCAGTCAATCAAAAACAAGCTTTACTATTTCGATGTTTTTTGAGTCTTTAATGAAATTTTGCTCTGGGTTGTTGAGGTCATATAGTCGGAGAAAGTTTTGATTCTTAAATGTCTTTTTTTCAATTGCTTTAGACTACAATTAAAGGTGCTCTGACTCTTGTATGTGAACGTGTAATGCATTCAGAGGAGCTCCTTTTCCTTCTTATTATCAGAAGAGTTTTTGGTCGTTCTACTACATATCAAGGTTTACCGTGCACTTTGTTTGAAAATGCATTGAAATGTCTTACTTACTGTTCCTTGAGTTAGAATATAAAAGCCGTGGTTTGTGTAAAAAGTAGTAGTTGATAGTTCTGCTCTGTGTAATGTGATGTTCCGTTTACTGGAAGAAAGAGTGTTAGATGAAAAAGTGTATGTAAGTTTTTTTTTGCTTTTTATCTTGAAAAATCAGATCTCAGGTAGCTTCTTCAATAAAAAGCTTTCCATTTCGATTTTTTTTAAGGCTGAAAATTGAGCCGATCGCATATTTTGCCATGTAGTCTGTGACTGATAAGATTTTTAGGCTGCAAATGAAGTCAATCAGATGTTTTCGGGTATAGGTGTAGGGTTAGCTGGAATATAGGTATTGCTGTAGACGTTAGGTTGTGTTGGATATGGTGAATGTCAGTCAGAGACATGAGATGAGTATGGATGGATGTTAGTCTTTTCTGTGTTCCCGCGTACACCTACATTCATGCCTAAAGTTGCCGTATAAAATAGTGGAGCTATTTACTTATCTTGATGGAGAAAAAGGTTATAGATTTATTCATAAGAATATCTGATGCATGAACTAAAATTGAAATTTTTTTTGTCGAAAAATTCTCTGAAAATTTTCGAAGCTTTCTTTCAGAAAAGGGTCAGCGAATCCGTAGAATGAACGCTACCTTGTCTTTCTCATTTTCAAGACATATAATACAATAATCATTTACGTCACATGTTTCCATTTCCTTGCATTTCTACTTATCACACATGTACCTTGGTTATGATCACGAGAAAGCCAAATGCTAGCCAATTTGAGTGCATCTTGTTTCTTGTTATTGTCTTTGGTCTCATCTCGTTACAATCTTGTCAAAAATAGGTAAATAGAAGTAACGTATTCCTCTATAAATTGATCGCCAGATGATTCACCAGGACTCTTGCTCAAATATCGATAATGAAAACATGTGCTGCCGTTATCTATCCATCACTAGACATTGCAACACTGACAGCACGTGGACACAAAAGGACGCACTTTGTTGTTTACATAAGCAATTAAAAAAGAAACTACTTTCCATTTAGAAATATAATGGGCTCCACTGTTTTTTTGAATCACTCAAGAACACCAGCATCTAGAGACCTACGACTTTCACCAATGGAAAGAAGAGACAGGAGCACGTCTTTTCCCCCAATATTGTATAAGACGAAATCATTTTAAAACAAGTCATTTCTGCAAAACATTACAAAGAATACATGAAAATGATCTGTCATTTCGAAGAAATTTTGGTTTTGACATGTGATCTAGATAGAATGACCTCACATCTACAGTTCAAGATATAATTCGGATGATTATCTTCCCACATTTTTAATTTTGAACAAATAAAATCGTCTATTCACTTACACAAAAACTATGGAGTTCTTTTCCTTTTTAAGCAAATTTTCTTATTTTTTGTGAAAATTTCATCTGAAGGAAGATCATTTTTATGTATTTCTTCGATGTTTTGCAGAAATCCCTTATTTTAAAATGATTTCGTCTTATACAATATTCGAGCAAAAGACGTCTCACTGTCTCCTCTTTCGATTGGTGAAAGTCGCAGGTCTCTAGTTGTTGGCGTTCTCGAGTTATTCAAAAAACAGTCGACCACATTATATTTCTAAATAGATAGTAGATTAATTGATTCCTATGAACAGAAGTATAGAGCGCAGATGTGTGAGAGAAATGTTACAAGCAAATACATCGATCTAAGTTGGATAAATATTCGCCCACAGATAAGTTCAACAGTTCTGTTCAGATTGTTTTTCATGCATCAAACAGTCTGCTTGATGGAAAGATTTTTTTCGGTTCGTTGAAATGATGAAATATGTCTGTATGAAAAGTTTGGTTGTTTGTCTGGATCGCACAGCGGTAACTCATTTATTTAATTCAAATGAGCAGTCATCAGAAATCCATCAGGTTCACCCGATAGAAGTGACCATGTAGGTGTTTGTGAATGAAAAAAGTTCGGCAAGTACAGCTGTTTCGAAAGCCCATTTTCTTGTACAAACTAATTGCTTTGTAGTTATTGACTTGAGTATGCAGCAGAACTGCTAGATATCTTTGCCGTTTAGCCCAAGAAAGAATAGCATCCAATAAACGACTTCCGACACCTTGGCCTTGATTAATACGGCGCACACCGAATAGTTTGATATAAAGCGTTTCACGACCAGGTTCATATTGAACAAGAGCGCAAGCGATACATTGATCTGTAAAGATATCGTAGGCACACCAGATATGATCAATCATTTCGACCATGCTTCGAAGACCTTCAGCACCATAATAATTTTCAAAAAGTGGGCCAAGTACAGAACGAACGTGTTCGTAGGGAAAATCGCCATTGTGATAGATTCGTATTGACAAAGTGCCGTCAGAATTGTTGATCGTTGATCGATGAAAACTTAAAGTCATTGTGTATAGAACAGTCGATCAGAGATGAGAAGTGAAAATGATGAAGAAAAAACATGCAAATGTTGATGCGAAAATGATAATCACGTGCACAGTATATGATTCACAGTCGTGACTTTCAGCCGCTGTCAAACCAAGCGAACATTGATAGGAAGAAAAAGAACACAATTTCACATGGTGTCTGAAGACAAACAGAACGCAGCAATGCTGCACTCGTTTTTCTTGTTTTCAGGATGTGGGTGTGGGTGGGTGATTGATGTGGAGCTACCACAAGACGATTCGACAGAGAGCGCACGTAGTCGGAAATAGCGATTTTCTAGTACATCACTCCACCGCCTTACACAACTTCTAAACATCTTCATAACCCGATACTCAAGCCGAAATCGCGCAAAACGATTCCACAGCAAAACAGAGCAAGACAATATATTAATAACTAGTACGTTGATGGTGGCGGTACTCACCACACTCAATTTTCTGACTCAAAAGCTTTGCCGAAAGATGCCTATTACACCATTTGATTAGTCTTGAAACGGGTTATCGATTCCACGGCTCATTCTCAAAAGAGATACTTTTTAATAATACTCTTGTGTATTTTGTTAATTACAGCTACTTAATGATTTCCTATAGCCAAGTAATGAATTCTACAGGTACGGTTGAAATGAAAAAAATCAAATATTTATTATATGAATTTTTATTTTGTTGATGAAGAAAAATCCAAATATTCAAAATTTGAATCTCTATTGGGTTCGCAAAAATATTAGAATATTCATAATATATTTTCTTATGATGCAATATGAGCAGTGAGGAGGTTGAAAATGGAAAGAATTCAAATATTCAAAATTTGAATCTCTATTGGGTTCCCAAAAATATTCGAATATTCACAAAATGAATTTTTTTAATGATATAGTTTGAGCAAGGAGATGGTTGAAGGAAAAAATTCAAATAAAGAACTTTAGTATTCTCAATTTGAATTCCTATTGGATTCCCAAAAATATTCGTGATTTAATTATTTTAAAATAGTTTAATTAGTGCAAGAGGTTCGTCAAAAAAATCTGAATATTAAGTTTCAATGTCTATTTCGTTTGTAGAAAAATATTGATTTCTTTAATCTAAATCAGTGAAGCGTTTTATGAAATAAAAATTCAGGTATTGGTAATTGGAATTCGTATCTGGTTTGTAATAAAGAATTCAAATATTTATAATTTTGTTTGCCACTTGTTTTAAAAAAAAATTTCTAAAAATGATGACTTGAATGGCAAATTGGTTTTCGAAAATATTTCATTTATTCTTCTTCTTAATATTATGAGCTATTTAGATATAGATTCTTTGTGAGATTATCAGAGGCATTTTATCTATACATAGTAGCAAGAAAAGAAAGAGAGCACAATATTAAGTTGTGTGCCACAGACAAAACAAGTATGCAAGCATCTTAGAGATCTATTAGCTAGTCAAATAATCGTCTGTATAAAGCTTTTCAATATTTAAGAAATCATATTTATAGCCATGAAAATGTTATAATATCTATAAATAATGAAGAAAATATTTCATATTGTTTAAATGGCTATTAGTTTATAAATAACAATGGTTTTTATAATCATTCACACAGTTTTTAACCGCTGTCATATGTTAAAATGACTGCGGAGCCTTTTATTCGTTATCCAAACTCCAAATACGTACAACAATTTAAAAAAACATGCTATGTCTTAATAACCAAAGCAAAACCTGAAGTGAGTTGTATAATGATTAAGTACCTATAGGAAGTCATAAAGTAGGTATAGGAAATCATTAAGTAGGTATAGGAACTCATTAAATAGCTGTAGAATCATTCAGCAGCTGTAGAGAATCATTAAGTAGCTGTTAACTTTTTTTCAAAAGTATCTCTTTTGAGAAGCTACGTGCGTTAGAATTTGAAAACTGATGTAGTATTCTAGCGATACTCCTTATCATTTCAGATCAAGGTCATTCCTCGACTGGACGAACTCATTTATCGAATCGTATCAAATGAGAGAAGTCGAAGAAAAATTGAAGACCCTCTAAATGAGCGCTTTTACAACGAGAGGAGTTGATGTGAGTTCAACTCTCTATGTACCGAAAGGTACAAAATTAGCAACATAGATCTGAGCATTCTGCAAGAATACCAACGGGTGTGGGTGTGAGTGTGGATATAAATGAAGCGAAGATTAACACCCACACCAACTCTCACACCCACACCACCACGAACACTGACACCCTTAAGAAATTTTTTTAATTTTTACGCGTTTCTGTTAATTTACTAATATAAAGTATTCGGGAGAAAAACAGTGTATCTCTTAGTGAAATGTGATAAGACCTTTTTTTCATGGTTGATATCTGGTTTTTATTGCTTTGTCTGAATATTTTTTGCTAAAAATCGCAAAATATAGCTTAAACACAAATAGTTACAATAGCACATGATAGAAAAAGTATGTACACAAAAAATAGAACGCAAAAACAAACTATAGAAAATGAAAAATTTCCTAAATAAGAAACATTGTAGTATACCAGGAGAAAAAAAATGATAAAATTAACTAAATATTTCTTCATCATGCACACGAGTTTCTTTGCATAGAGAAGTATCAGCGACACAAGCAACCATAGCAGCGCCTTTACCACTACCATCATCAGATAAAGTTAGCTTGAATTGAAAATTTTTATCAACCAATGTTTCCATACATCTTTCCATAGTATGTTTAAAACGTGGATGATGTCGATAAAGTGATCCATCCACACCAATGGTAACATGAGGCTTTCCAATTCGATTAACTAATACAGCCAAACCAGCAGCAGCCAATCTAGCAGCTCGTTTTGAAACTTGTCGGCATACATATTGAACAATAGCACAATCATCATATGTAGCATTTTGTATACCAATATTTTCAAGTACTAGATGTGTATTTGAAAATTGAATACCTTCATCAGCTTCAACTGTTGAAACAAACTTTGTAGAAAAACCTCCGTGATTATAAAGTGGTGCCGTATAATTCCTATATGTATCACGATGACCAAGAAAAAGCAAGTCTTGTTGAATTAAATCAAGTATTATTAAACGAACGATTTCACCCAAATACATTCCCGAAATCATTTTTTCAAAAATTTGTTTTCTGGGATTAATTGATGAAAGATCAACTGCTTCATCATACTTCGTTCGGATAAAATTTAAACGACCATTATCACCAAATGCACCCCATTCCGTATTAATAATAACTTGTTTTGGATCATCATAATTACCATTCCATGTACCAACTTTGTCTAAACTCTCAATATAACATGCATTGGTTCCAGTTCCTAATATGAGACCAATGGCTGTTGATGGATCTCTATATGCGCAAGACATTAATGTTCCAACTGTATCATTTACTAGAGCTACACATTTTGCATTTATATGCTTTTCGTTAATAGCATCTTGTAGAAGTTTCACAACATCTTCATTGACAACACCTGAACAATTAAAACCTTTTGTCCATGTTGTTAATCGTGCTAATGCAAGACCTTCTTGTTGACAAGGAAATGAAAATGTAAAACCTAATGGATAACATATTTCGGTATTTAATAAATGTTCGTTTTCCATAAATTCATGTAAACATTCAGCTAAATGATGAAATAAATGTTTTCCATCACCAATCATAATTGATTGGGGAATAACAAAAATTCTAGATGTTATTTCTACTGTTGAATCTCCATGTAAATCAATTAAAAGTATACGAAAATTTGTCNAAATACGCCTAAATGTTACAAAATGTTCAAGGCGAATGCATTCGAGTAGAATGACATAGAAACACAATCTACAGGGTTGGAAATAATATTTTGCCCGGGGGATAACGCAATAATTTCAAATAGGGGATGTAATGAATTTTATACCAAATGAAAGCCCATCGAAAATGGGGTTTATTAATGCTAAAACATTTGGGTTAGGAAAACTTTCATATGTTGAACTGTTAAAATTTGTAGTATTTTACCGACTACAAGTATGAGAAAAATTATTCATGAGATAAACTTCGAACTAAATGTAATTCAAAATTGTTTATTTTTTCATCACTTTATGAATACAATCAATACTTAGTATGACGACCATTGGCATTCTTTACTTCACGAAGTCGAGATGGATATGAGCATAGAAGAGTTTCAAATAACTCGGTATCTGTTTCCATGTTTGCTAAAACATTTGAAAGGTGCATTTTTAGCGTGTTTTCGAGATAACGATTATGTTCAGTTTCTGATAACATTTTTTCTCAACTTCATCTTTGATTATTGTTCCAATATGTTCTGCCACATTGAGATCGGGTGAATTTCCTGGCCAGATATCATTACCCCAAAATCTAACATCGTTGTCTTGCAGCAAATGTTGCGTCTTATACGCTCGCATACATGGTGCTTTATCATGGACAAATACAACTTCATCTGGATCAATAACATTTTCTTCGTTCTTTAAGAAAGGAAATACATTTTGAGTGAAAATTGTATCACGAAAATATTCGCCGGTCCAAGATTCACCTTTGTCTTTGATCACCCAGAGTAACTTCTTAGCAGTAAACATAATAAAAATCCCAATACATGGTTGATTTTTCACCATTTCACGATAACGCTCATCTTCTTCGATATCATCGATACTTTTTGCCCATATTCGATCGTTCTGGTAATTTGGTCTACGAACAATCCACACATAAAATTCATCAGATGGCGCGAGATGAAGAAAGTCCTCTTCGGACCAATCTTTTAACCAATCGCACAGCCATAATCGATCCGATATATGAGTTTCAGATTTCAGCGGTTTTGGAATAACATGGAATGGTTTTAATCCTTCTCTATGACGATAATTATTGATTGTTCTTGGAACGACGTACTCCTTTTGCTTTTCTGCAATTTCCTTCGCCACAACCGAACAACTTTTTCTTTGTCGGCCACTCGCCTGAAGAATGATGTCTTGACTTGCTTGTGATAATTTAAGTTTAGGTCCGGCATTTGAATAATCAACAAAGCATTGGTCATATGATTTTTCCCACCAGTCACTAACAAACCGAATCGAGCGATGGACTTTCTTCGCCACCCATTCTCTATTTATGAATGTTGCACCAGCATCGCGAGCTTCACGAAAGGCAATGCATTTGATTCTGTCAATTATTCTCTGTTGTTCAGTATCATAAGTACCAGCCATTTTCAAGTTATTAGGTTTAATGGACTGACCAAAAGGATGAATTTTTTTAATGAAATATATTGATTAGAATATGACCTTATATATTCTTTCACAAGCTATATAAACTTTTTCGTTCTATAACTTTCTAAGAGAAGAAAAATAAAAAAATCTTTTTTTTTTACCTCCACCACGAGAAACAGACAACAGAACGGAAAAGGACAATCGCATCTTCTGAATCATTGTTAGGTCTTACGATCACTAGAACAATGCTCCTTTCANAAAAACTGCTTGAAGAAAGCAAATTGACTAGATATGTCTCAGATGATAAAAAAACAAAGTGAATATACCTGTTCACTTTTTGAAGTACACATAACACTCGGATTTAAATCCGATGTTTTCGAATTTATTTTTCTTTTTAGTATGATACTTTTTTTCTTAATAATCCACAATTATTATTGTTATTATTACTTTTACCATCTTAATCCTAATAATTCATCTTTTATTATTTTCTTTTAAATAAGATAATTCTGATGTTGTTATTTAACATCTTTCAATATCTGAAAGAGACGTTCAATAGAAGACAAATGGTTTAGCAGGTGAAAGTATCTAATTGGCTAAAAAAAATCCAGGACAATATATCGAATATACACAAAAAAAAGAATTATAACGTTAAAGGGTTTCAGTGTAATTCTTTTTCCGTATGAGCTTTTGATACCCAACCTTGCGGTCGTGGCATATTCGGACGATCATCCCAAACTTTTCTTGTCACATTTGGATCAACTGGACCAACAACATCATAATAACTTATTGGATCACCATGATGAATTTCCCAATCACGTTGACGAGCACGATCAACAAGTATACGTCGATACGAAACATATATACCAAATAAAACACCAAATAAAGCACCAATAATATAATATTGTTTACGATAATAAATATCCATATGCCATGGTGTTGGTAAACGTGCTTCAGTAGGATCATTAGGAAAATAATTTTGATAAAATTCACGACTATTAAATGCTATTCCTTTCATTTCTGATGTTTTAGCACGTGGTATTTCATTATCGGGTGGTGGACGAAATTCGGGATCAAGAGATAAAGGTGTTCGATATTGTTTTTGGTTATCCGAAGATGTATGAGAAACATTTGTTGTTGTTGAAGAAGCTGAACGAGTTAAAATTATTCGTTCAATTAATTTTGAATAGAGTTGTCTTGATGATGAATATTTTGAAAGTAACATAGCAAGAAATGTTATTTGTTACAATTGAAGAATGAAAAAAAAAATAGATTCGTTGTACTTAGATATGGGCAACCATGTTGAATTTTATGTATGTTGATGAAGGTTAATTTATTAATAGAAGAAAATATTGAAAGGAAAAAAACAACTAGAATTTATTAAGAAAAAGTTAATTTAAAAATTTAAAAAAATTTTTTAGACATCAATACCATTTAATAAGAAATGATTGGTAGCGCAACACATGAGTTCTGAATCATTCGAGATAATTCTCTATTACTCGATGATTCATCAACTACACATGATATGATGTCAGATGATGACACAGCATTTTTTTTAGTTCACCGATTTATATTCTCGTCGCTATTCAGATTATTTTCATTCATTTTTGACTTTTATCTATATTATACATATGGAATTTCCACATCTTGGTCAACATTGTTCCGTTAAAACATGCAATCGATTAGGTATATTACTTCCTTGTTTGATTTTTATTTCAAAATACTTTTTTTTTTAGATTTTCTACCCATGAAATGTGATTCATGTGCTGCTGTACTATGGTAAAGATTTTTTTAAATTAAATTCTTTCGAAAGTTAAATTTTGTTGTTCTTTTTTTATTTTATTTTAGCAAAGATCATATAAAATATGATGAACATGAATGTCCATCAGCTCATCGTAAAAATCTTCAAGTACCTATCTGTCCTTTATGTAATCAAGCTGTACCATTACAACACCGTGATCAATCACCTGATCGTGTTGTATCAGCACATATTGATCGTGATTGTAAATCTGATCCAGCATTAAAAAACCGTAAAAAAGTTTATTCAAATAAATGTTCATTTACTTCGTGTAAACAACGAGAAGCTATTCAAGTTAAATGTGATAAATGTTTAAAAACATTTTGCTTAAAACATCGATTTCCTGATGATCATAAATGTCAAGGATTTGAAAATACGGGTCGAATTATGAATCGAGCTGGGTAAAATATATATTTAATAAACAAACTTTTCTTTTTGATATTCATAATCGATTCATTTTTATAGTGCTGCAGCTATAGAACGTATGAAAAAGATCAATGTTGATCTTACTAATAAAAATGCCTCGAACAACGCAACAGTAATGGTAAATATATAATTTGAGTGAATTAGTAAAATAATATTTTCTTATTTTGTGAATAATAGGATGATGATGAATCACTGGCATTAGCAATGAAATTATCCTTAAATCAAACGTAAGATATTTGAAAAAAAACTTTTGTATTCAACGCTTTTGTTTTTGAAATAGAACACAAGAAGAAAATGATTTTTTACTAGCACAAGCTTTGCAACAAAGTGAACAAGAAGAAGTTCAACGACAGCGCTCTAATGTAACTATTGAATTTGTTTTGAAAAATCATTTCTAGCTTTCTATGTATATTTCAGGTTATTAAAAGCAATGCTTGATCTGTATATTTTTCTCTCTGATGATCACAACAATGAAAGAATAGTGATCGAATGAACGATAAAAAGAAAATTTATTTTTGCTATTGAATAGTCATGAGTTCGCACATATTATAGTTTTTCTTTTTTGGTTATTGCTGAATTTATTTATTATTTTTGTAAATTAAACGTGAAAATAAAATAATAAAAACTATTTATATAATGGCTTTAGAGAAAAAGCCAAAAAAAAAAATAAATGAATTTTGTAAAACAATTATCAGGTATTTTGGTGTATTTGTATAATGAAAACAAAAGAGAAAATTGTATGTATTTAAGTTGATTTGTATATCTTGTTAAGTTCTGAAAAAAAGTCTATCATAATAAAAGAACAAGAAAGAGACAAAAAAAAAACCTGAAGATAACAATTATTTAAAAGTTTTTATTCTGACATTTTTAGTTATTTTCTTGTTTTAAAAATTAATCAATGAATTTGAAAATGAGTATTCATTTATTACTAATCATATCCTAATATCCACATTTCGTTATATTGATTAGTTTTGATTTATTGTATTTATCATTTGCAATGTTTTATCTAAAAACCTATTTCTAAATCCAAAATTTTCTACCAATTTACGTTGTCGAATTTATCAGAAATGGTAGTTTTATCAATAATAACTCTATTTTTTTTAAATTTGAGTGTTTTCTTCGTTTGAGTTGTTTTTATTATGTGGACCATATCATGACGAGATATAGTATGCTAATTTTCTTGCTGCATCGCAAGATTTTCTAAGCAGGAATTACTCGATTATCTACTATTAGAAAAAGAGCATATAATCGACTAGTTTAATTGACTAATGAACAAAGATTCTTCTTCAACAAGTAGACTGATAACTGTCACCTACCTATAAATCACAATGCTTCAATTATAATCTTTCTTTTATAAAAAGTTTCTTTTCTATTCATTGCGACTAGTAAGCAACTATTTTATTCATCACATCGTATATTAAACACACAAGTATACATATGAGTTAATAGAGATTATTTATAAATATAAACAAAAAGCATTAAAACACTTTATTATAAAAAAAAAACACATAAGCAAATCTATCCCCATTGCGCAAAAGCCACCCACAAAAAAGATCTATTATTGAGTTCACAAATAAATAAAATTATATATTTCGAATTGTAGCTAATTCACGATCAATGGTTTGTATTTCATCTAGCTTTTTACTGAATATTTTCAAAAGTTTACTGGAACATTCTTCTTGCGTGACAAGTAATTTCGATACTTTTTGTCGTATTTTTTCATCTTTATCAACACTTTCTTCTTTTATATTTGCCTAAAAAGAATTCATATAAATAATTAAAGAAAAGAAAAATTTCATACTTGAAAACTTTCATCTGCTATTGACATAATTTCATCGAGATCATCTTGAGTTAAATTTAATATTTTACTTGCTGTACTCATAGCTGTATCATAGCCAGGTAATGTCATTGATAATGATTCACGTTGTTTTTGATATTCACGTGCACGTTTCAGTTTCTCATTCATTTGTATACTTCGTCGAGTCATTTCAAGAAGAAGATCCTAAATGGAAATTTTTTAAATTTTATTAAAAGTTAAAAGTGTCACGAGTAGAGATGTACAGGACCACGGAAAAGAGAAGCTACGCTGAGGCCGAAACTGGCTATACGAGAAAATATTTCCTCAACTGAAACTAAGAATAACAGCTTGAGGTAGTCCTTTTAAAAATTGAAAAAGCAAAATTCCTTTACATTTATAAATTTTTCATATTCATTTAAACGTTGAAGTGTTCGATCTAATTCGAATGTTATTTTTTTTAATGAATCTTGACTTTTAGTATTTAATGCTAATAATTGTTGTTCAGATAGTTGACGAGATGTTAATAATTCTTGATTTAATTGTTCATTATTAAGACGTATTTGTCGAAGTTGTTGATCACTTAAACGAAATTTTGTTTGAATATCTTCAAAACGAATTTTCTATTAAAATAAATATATTTATATTTTATTAAAAACCTTTTTTTTTTTTGTTAAAAATTAAACATAAATATTTACTAATTTTTGATGTTCATCAACAAGTTGAGTATATCGTGAATCAAGATCATGTTTTTCTCGAGTAACTGCTTGTAAACGATTTTTATATGAATCAATCTATACAACAAAAAACAATGTTATATTTTTTATGAAATCTAAAAAATTACATACAGTTATTCGTAATCTTTCTGTTGTTTCAGTTAAAGACTTGATACGTTCATCATCATTCTATTTGAAATAAAAAGAAATTGAATAAATCTAACATAAATCGTAATTTTTACTTCATTAATGCTCTTGTCATTTGAAC